GGGGTGTTCCTGAGGGTCCCCAAGGGATTTGGGGGGTCCCAAGGCGGTCTGGGGTGAGTTTGGGGGGGTCCCTGAGGGTCCCCAAGGGATTTGGGGGGTCCCAAGGCGGTCTGGGGTGAGTTTGGGGGGGTCCCTGAGGGTCCCCAAGGGATTTGGGGGGTCCCAAGGCGGTCTGGGGTGAGTTTGGGGGGGTCCCTGAGGGTCCCCAAGGGATTTGGGGGGTCCCAAGGCGGTCTGGGGTGAGTTTGGGGGGGTCCCTGAGGGTCCCCAAGGGATTTGGGGGGGTCCCAAGGCGGTCTGGGGTGAGTTTGGGGGGGTCCCTGAGGGTCCCCAAGGGATTTGGGGGGTCCCAAGGCGGTCTGGGGTGAGTTTGGGGGGGTCCCTGAGGGTCCCCAAGGGATTTGGGGGGTCCCAAGGCGATCTGGGGTGAGTTTGGGGGGGTCCCTGAGGGTCCCCAAGGGATTTGGGGGGTCCCAAGGCGGTCTGGGGTGAGTTTGGGGGGGTCCCTGAGGGTCCCCAAGGGATTTGGGGGGTCCCAAGGCGGTCTGGGGTGAGTTTGGGGGGGTCCCTGAGGGTCCCCAAGGGATTTGGGGGGTCCCAAGGCGGTCTGGGGTGAGTTTGGGGGGGTCCCTGAGGGTCCCCAAGGGATTTGGGGGGTCCCAAGGCGGTCTGGGGTGAGTTTGGGGGGGTCCCTGAGGGTCCCCAAGGGATTTGGGGGGTCCCAAGGCGGTCTGGGGTGAGTTTGGGGGGGTCCCTGAGGGTCCCCAAGGGATTTGGGGGGTCCCAAGGCGGTCTGGGGTGAGTTTGGGGGGGGGGTCCCTGAAGGTCCCCAAGGGATTTGGGGGGTCTCAAGGCGGTCTGGGGTGAGTTTGGGGGGGTCCCTGAGGGTCCCCAAGGGATTTGGGGGGTCCCAAGGCGGTTTGGGATGAGTTTGGGGGGGGTCCCTGAGGGTCCCCAAGGGATTTGGGGGGTCCCAAGGTGGTCTGGGGTGAGTTTGGGGGGGTCCCTGAGGGTCCCCAAGGGATTTGGGGGGTCCCAAGGCGGTCTGGGGTGAGTTTGGGGGGGTCCCTGAGGGTCCCCAAGGGATTTGGGGGGTCCCAAGGCGGTCTGGGGTGAGTTTGGGGGGGTCCCTGAGGGTCCCCAAGGGATTTGGGGGGTCCCAAGGCGGTCTGGGGTGAGTTTGGGGGGGTCCCTGAGAGTCCCCAAGGGATTTGGGGGGTCCCAAGGCGGTCTGGGGTGAGTTTGGGGGGGTCCCTGAGGGTCCCCAAGGGATTTGGGGGGGTCCCAAGGCGGTCTGGGGTGAGTTTGGGGGGGTCCCTGAGGGTCCCCAAGGGATTTGGGGGATCCCAAGGCGATCTGGGGTGAGTTTGGGGGGGTCCCTGAGGGTCCCCAAGGGATTTGGGGGGTCCCAAGGTGGTCTGGGGTGAGTTTGGGGGGGTCCCTGAGGGTCCCCAAGGGATTTGGGGGGTCCCAAGGCGGTCTGGAGTGAGTTTGGGGGGTGTTCCTGAGGGTCCCCAAGGGATTTGGGGGGTCCCAAGACGGTCTGGGGTGAGTTTGGGGGGGTCCCTGAGGGTCCCCAAGGGATTTGGGGGGTCCCAAGGCGGTCTGGGGTGAGTTTGGGGGGGTCCCAAGGCGGTCTGGGGTGAGTTTGGGGGTGTTCCTGAGGGTCCCCAAGGGATTTGGGGGGTCCCAAGGCGGTCTGGGGTGAGTTTGGGGGGGTTCCTGAGGGTCCCCAAGGGATTTGGGGGGTCCCAAGGCGGTCTGGGGTGAGTTTGGGGGGGTTCCTGAGAGTCCCCAAGGGATTTGGGGGGTCCCAAGGCGGTCTGGGGTGAGTTTGGGGGGGTCCCTGAGGGTCCCCAAGGGATTTGGGGGATCCCAAGGCGGTCTGGGGTGAGTTTGGGGGGGTGTTCCTGAGGGTCCCCAAGGGATTTGGGGGGTCCCAAGGTGGTCTGGGGTGAGTTTGGTGGTCCTGGGGGGTCTCCAGAGGCTGCTGAAAGTCGCTGGGCTGGACTGAACTAAGCCAGGCTGAGCTATCCCAGGCTGAGCTAGCCCAGACCATCCCTGGAACCTCCCCAAACCCTCCCTGCCCCCGGCTGCAGGTGAAATCCGTGAGCCACGACCTGGAGCAGCTGAGCCGGCTGCTGCAGCTGGCACGGAGCCTCCTGCAGAACCCCTTCCTGAGCCTGGGCTCCTACGTGGGCAGCCTGGTGGCCTCGGTGCTCTACTGCGTGCTGGAGCCGCTGGCCGCCTCCATCAACCCCCTCAACGACCACTGGACGCTGCGTGACTACGCCGCAATGCTGCTGGGCCGCATCTTCTGGTGGGCAGGGGGCTCCGGGGGGGTTTTGGGGGTGTCCCGGGGGTGCCCCGGGGGCTCAGTGCCCACCTGTGCCCGCAGGAGCCACGGGGAGCTGGTGCGGGGGCTCTACCAGCAGATCCTGCTCTCGCTGCAGAAGGTTCTGGCCGATCCCGTGCGGCCGCTCTGCTCCCACTACGGCGCCGTGGTGGGGCTGCACGCGCTGGGCTGGAAGGTTTGGGGGGTTTTGAGGGGGTCTTGAGGGTGTTTGGGGGGGTCAAAAGGTGTCCAGGGGTGTTGAAAGGGGGTTTGGGGGGTGAGAGAGCCTTTAGGGGGGGCTTTAAAGGGGTTTTGGAGGGTCTCAAAGGGGTTTGGGGACACCAAAAAATGTCCAGAGGGGTCCAAAGGGGGCTTGGGGAGTTCTGAGAGGGTTTTGGGGGGTGAGAGGGGGTTTGTGGGGGGCTCAAGGGGGTTTGGGGAGGCCAAAAGGTGTCCAGGGGTGTCTAAAGGGGGTTTGAGGGGGTTTTGGGGGGGGGTCTCAAGGGGGCTTAGGGGTCCTGGGGGGGGGTCTCCTGACCATGCCCCCCGTCCCGCAGGTGGTGGAGCGGGTGCTGTACCCCCACCTCCCCCTGTACTGGTTTGGGGGCTCCATGGGGTGGTTTTGGGGGGTCAGGAGGGGAGTTTGGGGGGTCAGGAGGGGAGTTTGGGGGTTCCTGGTCAGGATTTGGGGTTCGGGGGGGGGTCTCCTGACCATGCCCCCCGTCCCGCAGGTGGTGGAGTGGGTGCTGTACCCCCACCTCCCCACGTACTGGTTTGGGGGCTCCATGGGGTGGTTTGGGGGCTCCATGGGGTGGTTTGGGGGGGTCAGGAGGGGAGTTTGGGGGTTCCTGGTCAGGATTTGGGGTTCGGGGGGTCCCAGACCATGTCCCCCCATCCCGCAGGCGGTGGAGCGGGTGCTGTACCCCCACCTCCCCCTGTACTGGTTTGGGGGCTCCATGAGGTGGTTTGGGGGGGTCAGGAGGGGAGTTTGGGGGGTCAGGAGGGGAGTTTGGGGGTTCCTGGTCAGGGTTTGGGGTTCGGGGGGTCCCAGACCATGTCCCCCCATCCCGCAGGCGGTGGAGCGGGTGCTGTACCCCCACCTCCCCACGTACTGGTTTGGGGGCTCCATGGGGTGGTTTGGGGGGGTCAGGAGGGGAGTTTGGGGGTTCCTGGTCAGGGTTTGGGGTTCAGGGGGGGGTTCCAGACCATGTCCCCCCATCCCGCAGGCAGTGGAGCGGGTGCTGTACCCCCACTTCCCCCTGTACTGGTTTGGGAGCTCCATGGGGTGGTTTTGGGGGGGTCAGGAGGGGAGTTTGGGGGTTCCTGGTCAGGGTTTGGGGTTCGGGGGGGGATCCCCTGACCATGTCCACCCATCCCGCAGGCAGTGGAGCGGGTGCTGTACCCCCACCTCCCCCTGTACTGGTTTGGGGGCTCCATGGGGTGGTTTTGGGGGGTCAGGAGGGGAGTTTGGGGATTCCGGGTCAGGATTTGGGGTTCGGGGGGTCCCAGACCATGTCCCCCCGTCCCACAGGCAGTGGAGCGGGTGCTGTACCCCCACCTCCCCACGTACTGGCCGAACCTCCAGGCCGTGCTGGACGATTACTCCGTGTCCAACGCCCAGGTCAAGGCTGACGGCCACAAAGTCTACGGCGCCATCCTGGTGATGCCGGGGGGGCGGTTTTGGGGGTGGGGGGGGTCCCGCACCCCTTAACCCACCTCAGATCCCTCTGACCTCCCCTCCCCCATCTCCCCCAGGTCGCCGTGGAGCGGCTGCTGAAGGCCAAGGCTCAGCAAGCCCCGGGATTTGGGGGTCCCGAGGGGTCCCCCCGGCACAGCCCCCCCGGCCAGGACCCCCTCCCCGAGCTGGGCTTGGGCCGCCCGTTGTTACCGGGGGGCGCCGCCGCATCCTCCTCCTCCTCCTCCTCGTCGCCGCTGTCTCCGTCGCTGCGGGACATGTACCGGGAGCTCTACGACTTCTTCGGCGACAGCCTCGCCGCCCGTTTCGGCACCGGCGCCCCCGCCGAGCCGCCGAGCCCCCCGGGCGCGGCCGAGGGCGCCCGCAAAGAGCCGCCGGCCGAAGGAGCCGCCCGCAAAATGCCGCAGCTGACCAACGCCACGGTGAGCCCGCGGGACGAGGAGCCGCCCCCGCCGCGCCCGGAGCGCCCCGCCCTGCACCGAGCCCCGGGCCCGCCGCCCCGGCCCCGCGGGACCCCCCGCGCCCCCGCCGGCCACCGGCCCGGGGCTCGGGACGTGTTCCAGAAGTGCCGCTTCGCCCCGCGGGGCCCTCCCCGCTTCAGCTTCGTGATCGCGGGTCGCCAGACCGGGCGGCGCTGCCCCGGGCGGCGCTTCCAGACCAACTTCCCGCAGCCGCCCGCGGCCGCGCTCGGCTCCCGGTACGCGCAGCGGCTGCCGATGATCGGCCGCACCGGGCGGGCCCCGCGCCGCTGGCCCCGCGCCGAGTACTCGCTGCTGCTGCTGCTCTGAGCCCGCCGGGGTTAACGGGCACCGGGAGGCCCGGAGCGGTCAGTAACGGGTGGCCGGTGAGTGGGGGTGAGTGGGCAATAACGGGTGTCCAGCGGTCACCGAGTGCTGCTGCCTGCTCAATAAAATCTCATTTTTCCATTTTCTCCCCCAATTCCATCCTCTCCCCAGTAACGGCCCAGGCCACACTGCAGAACGGATTTTACTGGAAAACCTCAGGATTTACAAAATTCCCCCCTGGCCGCCCCCCACCCCCCAACCCAGGCGCTGCCGCACCATTTCGGGTAGAAAACTCCGCAAAAAGTGGAAAAACTCGTGGAAAAGTGGCGAGGGGGGCTCGGGCTGGAGGTGCAGCAGCATTTGGGGGTCACGGCGCGACCCCCCCGGGCGGGCGCTGAGCTGGAAACGGAGCAGCGGCTCCGGGGGGGGCCCGGGCGGAGTCCCGGTGTCCCCTCGGACAATGGCCTCGGTCACGGCTCGCTCCAGGGCCAGGGGGCAGCTCCCGGGACCCCCGGGACCCCCAACCCCCCCGGGACCCTGAGCATCCCCGGGACCCCGAATCCCCTCGGGACCCCCAACCCCCTCGGGATCCCCAACCCCTCCGGCACTCTGAGCCCCTTCAGGACCCTCAAGACTTTGATCTCCCCGGTTCCCCTCGGTGCCCGGAGCCCCCCCGGAGCCCTCCCGGGGCCGGAGGCGGCGGCGGAGGCGGCGGCGGCCCCGCCACACCCGGTACCAGACGCAGCAGCTCCACCGGGACGGGCCCGCGGGGCCCCGGGGCCGCTTTGCGGGCGGGACCCCCGCCCCGGGCGGGACCCCCTCGGGGAGGCGACGCTTGGAGCCCGGTCCCGGTGTCCCCGCGTCCCCAAATTCCCGCTGGGAATCGCCTGTCACCCCCTCTGGGTGACAACGGGCTCCCGGTGGCGGCTCCGAGGGAGCCGGGAGCAGCTCCTGCTCATCCCCCGCTGTCCCCAAATCCCCGAATTCCCGCTGGGAATCGCCTGTCCCCCCCTCCAGGTGACACTGGGCTCCCGGTGATGGCTCCCCCGCACTCCCAGGTGTCCCCAAATCCCCGAATTCCCGCTGGGAATCGCCTGTCCCCCCCTCCAGGTGACACTGGGCTCCCGGTGATGGCTCCCCCGCACTCCCGGGTGTCCCCAAATCCCCGAATTCCCCTCGGGAATCACCTGTCCCCCCCTCGGGCTCGCAGCCGCAGCCCAGCAGCTCCCGCAGCACGAACCCCACGGCCGCACAAACCTCACCCTGCGGGACCCCCCCGCGCCCCCCCGGCGGTGGCAGCGGGACCGGGATGAGGAATTTCCCCTCGGAATCCCCAAAAGCGCCGCGATCGCCGCCGGGGCCGGGCTGGAGCAGCCGCATCACGCCCCAGGGGCGGCCCCTGCGCGACTTCTGGAGGAACTCGGGGCCGCGACAGAGTCGGGCGGCGTCGCGACAGCAGCGCACGAATCGCGACACCGTCCGCGCCGTGACATTGGCGGCCACGTTGTGGCTCAGCTCGAAGGGGTCCTGCAGGGTCAGGGGGCCCGGGCGGAGCCCCCCGAGGGTCTCGGGAGGGGGGCGAGGCAGAGCTCGGCCCTCCAGGGGGGACAGGAGGAGCTCCCCCAAATTCAGGCTCCCGAAATAGGAGAAGAATTCGGCCAGGAGGGAGGCTGGGGGGGAGGGAGGGGGTAGTCAGAGAGCCGTGGAGACACCCCCGAAAATAGCCAGGACACCCCTAAAATCAACCAGAAACACCCCTGAAAACATCCAGGATCTGCCCTAAAACCACCCAGAAACAGCCAAAAAAATACCCCCAAACCACCCAGAAACAGTCCCAAAAATACCCCCAAAACCACCCCAGAAACAGCCCCAAAAATACCCCCAAAACCACCCCAGAAACAACCCCAAAAACACCCAAACCAACCCCAAAGACCACCCATAACCAACCCAAAAAATACCCTCAAATACACCCAGAATCCCCCCAAAAGCCAGTGGGATTTGAGCCTCCCCCCCCCCAGTGGATCAGGAGCCCCTCCTGGATTTGGGGACCCCCCCCCAGTGGATCAGGAGCCCCTCCCGGATTTGGGGACCCCCCCCAGAGGGTCAGGAGCCCCTCCCAGATTTGGGGACCCCCCCTCAGTGGGTCAGGAGCCCCTCCTGGATTTAGGGACCCTCCCCCAGTGGGTCAGGAGCCCCTCCCGGATTTGGGGACCCCCCCCAAGTGGGTCAGGAGCCCCTCCCGGATTTGGGGAGCCACCCCCCAGTGGGTCAGGAGCCCCTCCTGGATTTGGGGACCCCCCCCCCCTCAGTGGGTCAGGAGCCCCTCCTGGATTAAGGGACCCTCCCTCAGTGGGTCAGGAGCCCCTCCCGGATTTGGGGACCCTCCCTCAGTGGGTCAGGAGCCCCTCCCGGATTTGGGGACCCCCCCCCAGAGGGTCAGACGCCCCTCCTGGATTTAGGGACCCTCCCCCAGTGGGTCAGGAGCCCCTCCTGGATTAAGGGACCCTCCCCCAGTGGGTCAGGAGCCCCTCCCGGATTTGGGGACCCCCCCCCCAGAGGGTCAGGAGCCCCTCCCGGATTTGGGGACCCCCCCCAGTGGGTCAGGAGCCCCTCCCGGATTTGGGGACCCCCGGCTCCCCCTCACCGGCGCTCTGGCCGTTCTCGCTGGGCTCCAGCGCCGCCGCGTCCCGGGGGAAGCTGCAATCCCACCCCCCCACCTGGGCTCGGTCCTGGGGCCCTGCAACCGACACGGGGGGGTCAGAGACCCCCAAAATGGGGCGGGGGACCCCCAAAAAGGGGCAGAGAGGGGTGTGGGCACCTGCCAGGAGGCGGAGGCGCCGCACCGAGGGCAGCACCGGGGGGCTGCGGCTCTGCAGGAACAGCACCAGCAGCAGCGTCAGAGCGTAGTTGGTGAGGAGGGGGCCGCCCCCGGCCCGGTTCCCTGCGGGAATAATGGGGGGGGTCGTGCCGGGGGTCCCCAGTGAGCTGTGACCCCCCCCTCAATTGGCCACGACCCCCCCTTGCTGCTTGGAGGAGTTGGGTGGTGGGCTGGGGGCTCTGAGCCCCCTCCTCAGTGATTTTCAGGGCTCTCTTCCTCATTTAGGGGGTCTCTGCCCCTTTTGGGGATCCCAGCCTCTTTCTGGGGGGTCCCAGCTCCCTTTGAGGGGTCCCATCCAATTTTGGGGAGGGGTCCCGGCCCCCTTCTCACCTGCCAGGTGCTGCCCCCTCTCCCAAAGCCACACAGGGGCTGTGAGCAGGGGGTTCCCAGTCCTTTTTTAGGGGATCCCAGCCCATTTTTGGGGGATCACAGCTCGTTTTGGGGCTCCCAGCCCATTTTGGGGAGGGGTCTCGGCCCCCCTCACCTGCCAGCCGCTGTCCCCCCGCCCAGAGGCGCACGGCGTAGCCCAGGGGCCGCACCCGCGGGTCGGCGTCGGCGCAGAGGCGCAGGAACTGCGTGTTCAACAGGGCCAGCCTGGGGTAGGTTTGGGGCAAAAAACGGGAAAAATGGGGAGAAGAGGCAGGAAAAAGGGGCAAAAGGGGAAAATGGGGCAGGGAAAAGGGGAAAGGGGAAAAAAGGGCAGGGAAAAGGGCAAAAAGGGAAACAAAAAGGGCAGGGAAAAGGGGAAAATGGAAAAAGGAGGAGGAGGAAAGGAGAGAAAGAAAAGGGAGAAAAATTAGAAAGTGGCCCCCAGTTCCCTCCCAGTTTTTCCCAACATTCCCATCCCTGCTCCCAGTCCCTCCCAGTTCCTCCCAATGCCTTCCTCATTCCCCCATCCCTGCTCCCAGTCCATCCCAGTGGCTCCCAGTCCCTCCGAACATCCCCATCCCTGCTCCCAGTTCCTCCCAGTGCCCCCCCAGTCCCTCCCAGTCCCTCCCAACATCCCCCTTCCTTACTCCCAGTCCCTCCCAGTGGCTCCCAGTCCCTCCCAACATCCCCATCCCTGCTCCCAGTCCCTCCCAACGCACCCATTCCTTGCTCCCAGTTGCCCCCAGTCCCTCCCAGTCCCCCCCAATATCCCCATTCCTTGCTCCCAGTCCCTCCCAGTGCCCCCCCAGTCCCTCCCAACATCCCCATCCCTGTTCCCAGTCCCTCCCAGTGGCTCCCAGTGGCTCCCAACATCCCCATCCCTGTTCCCAGTCCCTCCCAGTGGCCCCCAGTCCCTCCCAGTCCGTACCGGTTGTCCAGGCACACGTCCCCGGCCAGCCCGGACTGTTTGTGGCTGAATTTCACCACGGGGCGCCGAGCGCCGGGCACGGCGCGGACCCCCCGGACCCCCGGCACGCAGCGCCGCAGCACCGCCCCCACCAGCGCCAGCGCCTGTTCTGGGGGGGCCCCGCGCCCCAAAAGGGACCCCTCGGACCCCAAAGGGGACCCCTCGGCCTCGGGGGACTCATCCCCCGACAGGGACCCCCCCTCAGAGCCGCACCCCGCGGGAGAGGCGCCCCGGGAGGGGTCTCGGTCACCCGAAAGGGACCCCAAAAGGGACCCCTCAGACCCCCAAACAGACCTCTCGGACCCCAAAAGGGACCCCTCGGACCCCCGAAAGGACCCCTCGGACCCCAAAAGGGACCCCTCAGACTCTAAAAGGGACCCTTCAGAGGAGGGGTCTCTGTCACCCAAAACGGACCCCAAAACAGACACCTTGGACCCCAAAAGGGACCCTTTGTCCCCCCAAAAGGGACCCCATGAGGTGGGGGTCCTTGTCCCCCAAAAGGGACCCATTGGGATGGGGGTCTCCATCTCCCAGCAGTGTCCCCCCCTGACTCTGGGGGTCCCCATCTGGGGTCTCTGGGCTCTGGGTGTCCCTGTTATGGCTAAAGTCAGGGGTTTTGGGGGTCCCTGGGCTCTGGGGGTCCCTGTATGGGTTAAGATCAGGGATTTTGGGGGTCCCTGGGCTCTGGGGGTCCCCATTTGGGTTAAGATCAGGGATTTTGGGGGTCTCAGGGCTCTGGGGGTCCCCGTTTGGGTTAAGATCGGGGATTTTGGGGGTCTCTGGGCTCTGGGGGTCCCCATTTGGGTTAAGATCGGGGATTTTGGGGGTCTCTGGGCTCTGGGGGTCCCCCAGCTCCAGGTGCAGGTCGAGGTCGCAGCCGTGGACGTCGAAGCCGTTGACGGAGGAGCCGTAGGGGACAACGGAGCAGCCTGGGGGGACACAGGTGGGGACAGGTGTGGGACAGGTGAGGGACAGGTGAGCGACAGGTGTGGGGCACATCACACACCTGGCACACACCTGGGACATGTCACAGCCCTGTCCTGCCCCCTGCCACCCCCCTGTGCCCGTGCCAGCTGTGCCAGGTGTCCCCAGCTGTGCCCAGGTGTGCCCAGGTGTGCCCAGGTGTGCCCAGGTGTCCCCAGCCGTGCCCACCTGGGAAGAACTCCCCGAACACCTCCTGGATCAGGGCCACCAGGAGCCGCCGCAGGCGCCGCTCGGCCGCGCTCAGCTCCAGCGCCCGCACCAGCAGCTGCAGCTGCGCCCCCACCTGCGAGAGGCAAACTGGGAGCACTGGGAGCACTGGGAGACACCCCCATCTGCACTGGGCAAACTGGGAGCACTGGGAGACACCCCCCATCCGCACTGGGCAAACTGGGAGCGCCTCCACATCCGCACTGGGCAAACTGGGAGCACTGGGAGACACCCCCCGTATCCTTAATGGACAAACTGGGAGCACTGGGAGACTCCCCCCATCCACACTGGGCAAACTGGGAGCGCCTCCCCATCCACACTGGGCAAACTGGGAGCACTGGGAGACACCCCCCATCCGCACTGGGCAAACTGGGAGCGCCTCCACATCCGCACTGGGCAAACTGGGAGCACTGGGAGACACCCCCCGTATCCTTAATGGACAAACTGGGAGCACTGGGAGACTCCCCCCATCCACACTGGGCAAACTGGGAGCGCCTCCCCATCCACACTGGGCAAACTGGGAGCACTGGGAGACTCCCCCCATCTGCACTGGGCAGACTGGGAGCACTGGGAGACTCCCCCCATATCCTTAATGGACAAACTGGGAGCACTGGGAGACCCCCCCCCATCCGCACTGGGCAAACTGGGAACACTGGGAAGACCCCCCCCATCCGCACTGGGCAGACTGGGAGCACTGGGAGACTCCCCCCGTATCCTTAATGGACAAACTGGGAGCACTGGGAGACCCCTCCCCCAACCGCACTGGGCAAACTGGGAGCACTGGGAGACCCCCCCCAACCGCACTGGGCAGACTGGGAGCACTGGGAGACCCCCCCCAACCGCACTGGGCAAACTGGGAGCACTGGGAGACCCCCCCCCCCATCCGCACTGGGCAAACTGGGAGTGCCTCCCCATTCGCACTGGGCAAACTGGGAGCACTGGGAGACCCCCCCATTCGCACTGGGCAAACTGGGAGCACTGGGAGACCCCCCGCATCCGCACTGGGCAAACTGGGAGCACTGGGAGACCCCCCCATCCGCACTGGGCAAACTGGGAGCACTGGGAGACCCCCCCCCATCCGCACTGGGCAAACTGGGAGCACTGGGAGACCCCCCCATCCGCACTGGGCAAACTGGGAGCACTGGGAGACTCCCCCCATCCGCACTGGGCAAACTGGGAGCACTGGGAGACCCCCCCCCATCCGCACTGGGCAAACTGGGAGCGCCTCCCCATCCGCACTGGACAAACTGGGAGACCCTCCCCATCCTTACTGGGAGCCCCTTAAACTCCCCCGGAGAGCTTTGGGACCCCCTAAACCCCCCCCAAATCCCCAGGAACGCTTCAGGACCCCCCAAAAACCCCTCAAGCCCCCCAAAACCCCCCGGGAGAGCTTTGGGATCCCCTCCTAGACCCCCCCAAAAACCCCTCAAGCCCCCCAACCCCCCCGGGAGAGCTTTGGGATCCCCTCCTAGACCCCCCCAAAAACCCCTCAAGCCCCCCAAAACCCCCCGGGAGAGCTTTGGGACCCCCCAAAAACCCCCTCGAGCCCCCCAGGACCCCCCCGGGAGAGCTTTGGGACCCCCCAAAAACCCCTCAAGCCCCCCAAACCCCCCCGGGAGAGCTTTGGGATCCCCTCCTAGACCCCCCCAAAAACCCCTCAAGCCCCCCAAACCCCCCCGGGAGAGCTTCGGACCCCCCAAAAACCCCCTCAAGCCCCCCAAACCCCCCCGGGAGAGCTTTGGGACCCCCCTAAACCCCCTCAAGCCCCCCTGACCCCCCCGGGAGAGCTTTGGGATCCCCTCCTAGACCCCCCCAAAAACCCCTCGAGCCCCCCAGGACCCCCCCAACCCCCCGGGAGAGCTTTGGGATCCCCTCCTAGACCCCCCCCAAGCCCCCCAAACCCCCCGGGAGAGCTTTGGGACCCCCTAAACCCCCCCAAATCCTCAGGACCCCACAAAAACCCCTCGAGCCCCCCAGGACCCCCCAACCCCCCGGGAGAGCTTTGGGATCCCCTCCTAGACCCCCCCAAAAACCCCTCAAGCCCCCCAAACCCCCCCGGGAGAGCTTTGGGACCCCCCTAAACCCCCCCAAAAACCCCTCAAGCCCCCCACACCCCCCCGGGAGAGCTTTGGGACCCCCAAAAACCCCCTCAAGCCCCCCACACCCCCCGGCCGAGCCCCCCACTCACGTCCTGGGCCCGGCCCAGCGCCTGCAGCAACCCCGGGGGGGTCCCGGGGGGCTCCCGGGGGGGGGCCCGGGGGAAGTCCCGGTGCTCCCGGGGCCGCACCCGCAGCCGCCGCCCGTCCAGGACGTGCCGGGGCTCATCCAGCGCCCGCTGCCGCCCCGCGGCGTCCCGCAGCTCCACGATGGCGAACGCGCCCTGTCGCGATATAGGCGCGACATCGCCTCACACGCGCGGGGCTACTGGGTCCCCCCCACAACTGCAGGGCCCTCGGGACAGCCCCGTCACTATCGCGACAGTCGCGATATTCCTCCACCAGGTGAGTGCCATGGGGAGGGGCCATGAGACCCTCCCAGGGCCACCAAATCCCCCCCAGGGCCCTCAGGACCTCACCACAGACTTCGTCCTTGACTATCGCGACAATCGCGGCACTCCCGAGAGCCCCAAAATTTCCACCCGAGGTCCTGCGGGAGCCGCGGGGTCCCGGCCCTCCCTCCCCGCCTATCGCGACACGGCCGCGGGGTCCCGACCCTCCCTCCCCGCCTATCGCGACAGCCGCGGGGTCCCGACCCTCCCTCTCCGCCTATCGCGACACGGCCGCGGGGTCCCGACCCTCCCTCCCCGCCTATCGCGACAGCCGCGGGGTCCCGGCCCGGGGTCCCGACCCTCCCTCCCCGCCTATCGCGACAGCCGCGGGGTCCCGACCCTCCCTCCCCGCCTATCGCGACAGCCGCGGGGTCCCGGCCCTCCCTCCCCGCCTATCGCGACACGGCCGAGGCCGCCGCACCTTCTCCTTGTCCATGACGACTGTCGCGACAGGCCCGAAGGCGCGGAAGTGGCGCCGCAGCCGCTCGGGCGCGGTGCCCCGGGCGAAGCCGCTGACGAAGAGGCTCCGCTGCTCCTGCGCCCGCCGCTCGGAACGGAGCCAGCGGAGCCGCCGGTGCCGCCGCCCGGCCAGGTGCGAGCGCAGGCTGGGAACTGCCGGGAGAACGGGACACCGGGAATGGGGCACCGGGACTGGGACACCGGGAATGGGACACCGGGAATGGGAACGGGACACCGGGAATGGGACACCGGGAATGGGAACGGGACACCGGGAATGGGAACGGGGCACCGGGAATGGGACACCGGGAATGGGACACCGGGAATGGGGCACGGGGAATGGGACACCGGACACTGGGAATGGGAACGGGACACCGGGAATGGGACACCGGGAATGGGACACCGGGAACGGGAACGGGACACCGGGACTGGGACACCGGGAATGGGAACGGGGCACCGGGAATGGGACACCGGGAACGGGACACCGGGAATGGGAATGGGACACCGGGAATGGGACACCGGGAATGGGACACCGGGAATGGGAACGGGGCACCGGGAATGGGGCACCGGGAATGGGACACCGGGAATGGGAACGGGACACCGGGAATGGGAACGGGGCACCGGGAATGGGAACGGGGCACCGGGAATGGGACACCGGGAATGGGACACCGGGAATGGGACACCGGGAATGGGAACGGGGCACCGGGAATGGGACACCGGGAATGGGAACGGGACACCGGGAATGGGAACGGGACACTGGGAATGGGACACCGGGAATGGGAACGGGACACCGGGAATGGGACACCGGGAATGGGACACCGGGAACGGGAACGGGACACCGGGAATGGGAACGGGACACTGGGAATGGGACACCGGGAATGGGACACCGGGAATGGGAACGGGACACCGGGAATGGAACACCGGGAATGGGAATGGGACACCGGGAATGGGACACCGGGAATGGGGCACCGGGACTGGGACACCGGGAATGGGAACGGGACACCGGGAATGGGACACCGGGAATGGGAACGGGGCACCGGGAATGGGACACCGGGAATGGGACACCGGGAATGGGATTGGGACACCGGGAATGGGACACCGGGACTGGGAACGGGACACCGGGAATGGGAACGGGACACCGGGAATGGGACACCGGGAATGGGACACCGGGAATGGGAACGGGAACAGGATCGGGAACTGGGGACACCGGGACCGGGAGGGACCCACGGGTACGGGAATTGGGGTCATGGAAAACCCCCCGGACCGGGAATTGGGGTCCCGGAGATCCCCGGTGCCGTTAAATGAGGCAACAGAGCCTCCCTGGTCCCGGTTAAAACGGAGCTTGGAGCCCTCGCTGTTCTGGTGAACGGGGTCCCGGAGCCCGCCCCGGGCACGGGAACCGGGGAGTCACGAGAGGGTCCCGGAGCCGCCGGTCCCATTAACCGGGAGCCTACCGCCCCCGGTGCCGGTAACCACAGCTCCCCCCAGCCCGCGCGCACGGGGTCCCGGAGCCCCGGCAGCACTCACGGTTGGCCGCGGTGATCTGGCATAGGCGGCAGCGGAAACCGCCCCGGTGCAGCGGCTCCACGTCAGGGTCGGCGGCCGGGTCGGTTACCGGCACCGGGCCCGTTACCGGGTCGTGGTCGAGGGCCGCTAAGGGGTCGCGGCCCGGGTCCGTGTCGCGATCGAGGCCCGGGGCGGGATCAGGGCCCGGCTCCGGTTCCATGGCGGGCCCCGGTTCCCGCGCCCGTCCCTCCGCTACTTCCGCCGGAAGTGTCCGTCCCTTCCCGCTCCCCCACGCGCGGTCCGTCTCTCACGGTTTTCCCCCCCAATAAACGCGCCCCAACACAAACATTCCTCCCGGTGCCCCCCCGGTATCGCCGTTTCCCTCCGCTCCCCCCCCCCCACTCCGCCGCCGTTTTGTGCCTCCCGCTGAAGAAAAACTCATCGCGTTTATTTCCTGTCGCTACAGAACCGGGACAGCCCGAGATACAAAACCGGGGGCGTCGCTCCACGTACAAAAGGGGCCCGCGGGGGGGAGAGGGGAGGGGGGAGGAGCAGAACGGAGAGCGGGGGGAGGACCACCGGACACCCCCCCAAACCCCCAACCCCCCCCGCGAGGTTCGTTTTTCTATGGAAATAAAAAAAATACAAAAGGGGCGGGGCGGGGGGGGTCAGTCCTCGAGCACGATGGGCTCCGAGGTGCTGGCGGGGTGCGGGGCGGCGGCGGGGGGCGGCAGGGCCCCTCCCGGGCGCAGCGGGGGGAGCCCCGGTTTCACCTTCAGCGGGAGGTTGGGGCGCCGGGCGGCGCGGCGCAGCTCCAGGTGCGTCAGCGCCTTCCGCAGAGCCCTGCGGATCAGGGGGGGTCATGGCAGGGAACCCCAAAAACTCCCTGAGACACCCCCCCACCTCTGTTTGCTGGGGCAGGGGGCAGGTTCTGTGTGGTTCCCCCAAAGGAATAATCCCAAAATTCCCGTTCTGGGGGGCATTGACTGCGCCAGGGCAGGTCAGACCCTGCCAGGGCAGCCCAAAGCTCCTCAGGACCTACCAAGACGTCCTAAATCCCCTCAGGATCCTTCAAACCCCTTCAGACCCCCGCCACGATTCCCTCAGGATCTCTCAAACCCCGTTAAGATCCTCCCAAACCCCCTCAGAACATCCCAAAGCCCCTTAGGACCCTCCCAGACCCCCTCAGGATCTGTCCAACCGTGTTACAACCCTCCCAAAAGCCCCTGAGGACTTCGCAAACCCCTTCAGAACCCCCCAAATCCCCTCAGGATCCCTCAAACCCCTTCGGAACTCCCCAAATCCCCTCAGAACCCCCACAAATCCCCTGAGGATCCCCTGAAGTCCCCTCAGGACCCCCCTCAAACCCCTTGGGACCCCCCAGATCTTTTCAGGGCTCTCCAAATCCCCTCAGGATCCCCTCAAATCTCCTCAGGAACCCCCCAAATCTCCTCAGGACCCCCCTTAAACCCCTTGAGACCCCCCAGATCTTTTCAGGGCTCTCCAAATCCCCTCAGGATCCCCTCAAATCCCCTCAGGATCCCCCCAAATCTCCTCAGGACCCCCCTTAAACCCCTTGGGACCCCCCAGATCTTTTCAGGGCTCTCCAAATCCCCTCAGGATCCCCCCAAACCCCCCTCAGGACCCCCCCAAACCCCCTCAGGCCCCGTACCGGGTGTCCTTGGTGGCCACGAACACCACGGGGTTCGGGGCGTCCGCCGGGTTCAGCTTCTGCCGTTTGGTGCCGGGGGGCGGCGCGGGGCGCAGCGCGGCCGCCAGAGGGCGCCCGTTGGCGGAGAACGGCAGCGCCGCCGTTCCGACCTGCGCGGGAGCGTCAGCCCCGCCCCACGGCCAATCACAGCGCGCCGCGCGAGCCCGCCGCCCAATCACAGCCCGCCCCCGCCAGAGCGCGCGTTTTACCCGGCCAATCACGGCGCGCCGTGAGGCTGTCGGTCACCCATATCCCCTCAACGTGCATGTCAGTCAACCCAAGTCCCCGCCCACAAACCCTCATTGGTCCAATCAGCTTCCAGTTCCAACGGACACGCCCACTGTCAATCATTCCAAGTCCCACCCCTGCATGGTCTACCCCATATCAATCACCCCCAATTTCCCTGTCAATCACCCCAATTCCCCCGTCAATCACCCCAATTGCCCCTGTCAATCACCCCCACCCATGTCAGTCACCCCAATTCCCCCGTCAATTACCCCAATCCCCTGTCAATCACCCCAATCCCCCCGTCAATCACCCCAATTCCCCCTGTCAATCACCCCAATCCCCTGTCAATCACCCCCAATTTCCCTGTCAGTCACCCCAATTCCCCCGTCAATCACCCCAATTCCCCCGTCAATCACCCCAATTCCCCCTGTCAATCACCCCCACCCATGTCAGTCACCCCAATTCCCCCGTCAATCACCCTCATCTCCCTGTCAATCACCCCAATTCCCCCGTCAATCACCCCAATCCCCCGTCAATCACCCCAATACCCCCTGTCAATCACCTCAAATCCCCTGTCAATCACCCCAATCTCCCTGTCAATCACCCCAATTCCCCTGTCAATCACCTCAAATCCCCTGTCAATCACCCCAATCTCCCTGTCAATCACCCCAATCTCCCTGTCAATCACCCCAATTCCCCTGTCAATCACCCTCATCTCCCTGTCAATCACCCTAATCTCCCTGTCAATCACCCCAATCCCCTGTCAATCACCCAATCCCCTGTCAATCACCCCAATTTCCCTGTCAATCACCCCCAATTTCCCTGTCAATCACCCTCATCTCCCTGTCAATCACCCCAATTTCCCTGTCAGTCACCCCAATTCCCCCGTCAATCACCCCAATTCCCCCGTCAATCACCCCAATTTCCCCGTCAATCACCCCCAATTTCCCTGTCAATCACCCCAATCCCCCGTCAATCACCCCAATTCCCCCTGTCAATCACCCCCACCCATGTCAGTCACCTCAATCCCCTGTCAATCACCCCAATTCCCCTGTCAATCACCCTGTCAGTCACCGCAATCCCCTGTCAATCACCTCAATTCCCCTGTCAATCACCCTGTCAGTCACCGCAATCCCCTGTCAATCACCGCAATCCCCTGTCAATCACCCCAATTCCCCCTGTCAATCACCCCAATTCCCCCTGTCAATCACCCTTACCCATGTCAGTCACCCCAATTCCCCCTGTCAATCACCCCAATACCCCCTGTCAATCACCCTCATCTCCCTGTCAATCACCCCAATCCCCCATCAATCACCCCAATTCCCCTGTCAATCACTCCCAATTTCCCTGTCAGTCACCTCAATTCCCCCGTCAATCACCCCAATCCCCGTCAATCACCCCAATTCCCCCGTCAATCACCCCCAATTTCCCTGTCAATCACCCCAATTTCCCTGTCAATCACCCCAATACCCCCTGTCAATCACCCCCACCCATGTCAGTCACCCCAATACCCCCGTCAATCACCTCAATTCCCCTGTCAATCACCCCAATACCCCCTGTCAATCACCCTCATCTCCCTGTCAATCACCGCAATCCCTCGTCAATTACCCCAATCCCCTGTCAATCACCCAATCCCCTGTCAATCACCGCAATCCCCTGTCAATCACCCCAATCCCCCGTCAATCACCCCAATTCCCCCGTCAGTCACCTCAATTCCCCTGTCAATCACCTCAATCCCCCGTCAATCATCCCAATTCCCCTGTCAATCACCCCAATCCCCTGTCAATCACCCTCATCTCCCTGTCAATCACCCCAATGCCCCCTGTCAATCACCCTTATCCACCTGTCAATCACCCCATTCCCCTGTCAATCCCCCCTCCCTCCATCCCCCGTACCCTCATGCGGGGGGGTCGGTGGCCATCTCCCCCCACCTCGTAGCCCCGCTTGCCCCCCAGCCCCGCCAGCCCCCGGCTCTGGCTCAGCTGGTTCCGGTTGATCGGGGTCTTGGTGCCTCGGGGGGTCTTCGGCTTCAGGGGGGCTTGGGCCGCTGGGAGGGGGGGGGCAGGGGGGTCAGGGGGTGTCCCCCCAACCCCAAAAATCCCCAAATCCAGCCCTGAGCCCCCCCACACCCCGGGGCCACCCCCCCACCACTCCTGGGGACCCCCAGTTGGGGTCCAACACCTTCAGAACCCCCCCCAGACTCACCTGGACCCTCCCAAATCTCTCCCCCACCCCACCTAGACCCCCAAATTTTCCCCCCCAGCACACCTAGACCCCTCCCCCCCCCCCCCCCAAATCCCATTCCTCATCCTTGGGACCCCCTCAGCTCCACCTGGACCACCCCCTCTTGTATCCCCCACCCCCAGGGACCCCACCCAACCCCCTCCCCAGCCCCCCAAAACCCCTCCCTGCCCCCCAGCCGCTCACCCAGCTCCTTGACGATGGCGGCCAGGGGCAGCCGGGTCAGCGGGTGGATCTTCAGGGGGGCCTTGGCAGCCTTGGGCAGCCGGATGGAGCCTGGGGGGGCCACAGGGGGCTCAGGGGGGGGGCTGAGACCCCCCCTTCAGTCCCACAGAAGGGTCCCAAATCCCCCTAGATGAGGGTCCCAAATCCTCCTGGGTGAGGGTCCCAAATCTCCTTTTTCTCCCCATTTTTTCCTCCCATTTCCCCCCCGTTTCTCACACTCGGCCTTGATGGTGTTGGAGTTGATGGGGACCCCAAACCCCCAGTTTTTTCCCTCAAACCCCATTTTCCCCCCCAAGCCCCCATTTTCCCCCATTTTTCTCCCAAACCCCATCCGCACTTACCCTTGATGGCATTGATGGGGATTCCAAATCCCCCCAAACCCCCATTTTTTCCCCATTTTCCCCCCAAACTCTCGTTTTCCCTCGTTTTTCCCCCCACACCCCACTCACACTCAGCCTTGATGGCGTTGGCGTTGATGGGGATCTCAAATCCCCAATTTTCCTCCCCAGACCCCCATTTTCCCCCGTTTCCCCCACTCACACTTGGCTTTGATGGTGGTGGCGTTGATGGGGGCGCAGGAATCCCTGATACCCCCCGAGGGGATCCCAAATCCCCCCAAACCCCCATTTTCCCCCACTCACACTCAGCCTTGATGATGCTGGCATTGATGGGGATCCTAAATCCCCCCAAAAATCCCATTTTTCCCCCCAAACCCCTAATTTCCCCATTTTTCCCTGCTCAGACTCGGCCTTGATGGCGTTGGCGTTGATGGGGGCGTAGGAATCCCATATACTCTGATACCCCCTGAGGGGATCCCAAACCCCCCATTTTGCCCATTTCCCCCCGTTTCCCTGCTCACATTCGGCCTTGATGGCGTTGGCGTTGATGGGGACCCCAAACCCCCAGTTTCTCCCCTCAAACCCCATTTTCCC